ACACAGCTTCTAATTTGTTAACTCTATTCCTTTTTTTTATTGATCTATTGTAATACGAGTCTGCCAAAAAATTATGAATTTAAGTCCCTAAATGCTAATCAGCAATATATAATATGTACGTAATTGAAAGCATATATTCTAGACTTAAATAAGTGATAATGAAACTTATTTTACCAACACTCAACGATAATAATAATTTTAAGCATAGCAAATTTGGACTAGACTAGACTTCAAAAAAGAGACCCATTTATATATATTTATTATATAATCGTTACACTTGACTAACCGTCAACAAAACGCCGATTAAAATCAGATTATTATAATTTACGATTACCTTATTTTGGAATAATAATCGTACTAATACGTATATGTTTTGTACAAATTCCATCATAAGTTTTTTTTCAAAAGCGGCTGATATATTTAAAATGCTTATGCAAAAATCCAACTTAGATTTCAAATTTAATGGAATTATATTTTAACATCATACATTTGTCATTAAGATGCTTAATTACTAATATTAAAGTAATAAAAATCGATTATAGCAACATCATACTAGCCAAATGATCAATATTTCTTATTAAATGATAATATTCTATGCCTGAATGTGAGTATGTAGCAAATAATCAGTAGCGGTAATCGATTACATCCCTAACAAATTATGAATACAGTATAGACTGTCAATGAATTCTTTAAAGTTCAATAAATTATAATAATTTTTTATAATCGTCTAATCTTACAAATAAATAATAGTAAACAAAGTGAATGCTAATAATACAAATTCAAATGGTTTAATACAAGAAATGATCATGATAACAATTAAATTATATGACAATTTTTTTGTATACACAACCCTATCTATAAATATTGAAATATCACTTAGAAAGTTTTTCGTGTTTTGTTAATACCTAAATTTCTTCTGTATTAATAATTTCTAACATTTTAAACGTTTTTTTTTCAAGTTCTCTTTTCAACTCTGCATCGGCAAATATTACCTATAAATTATATTTTTATTATTAATCTGTACGAATGAAAAATAAAAACGTTTAAAATAATGTATTTCACCTTCGCATAATTATCAATATCAAACATAAAAGGTTTCGTGCCAAAGTTAGCTACAATACATTCTCCTTTTGTTGCCATTCCACTCATTGGATACATTTCTCCTAGAATTCTATAATTAATTAAATCATCTATTTTTAATAAACGATTAATTTATTAAATATTTATATATCATTATGCGCATACAAACATATAGAAACAATTATTAAAATAAATTATTATACTTACCATAAGAAAATGTTTCAAAATAAAAGGATGATTCTTTACCTATGTTTATACCATTTTTTTTAAAAAAAATCTCCATATTGAGAAAATTAATTCCACAACCAACTGTATCTCCAGTATTGTAACAAGGACCAAAGAATTCCCCTGTTCCACGTTCATGATATAAACGACCATTGTCTCCATGATATCCAATTGTACCATGAACCCATCCTATATTTGTTTGTTTTAAAAATATTAAGTGGTTACCATTTCTAATTTTTTTCATAAGTTGTCATTTACGTACCTGGTAATATATTAAGATCAACATCTGACTTACAATATCCAATTCCAATACATCTTAAAAATTATCTATGTATATTAGTTTTCTTATTTTTATTTATTAAAATCTACAAAATTATGAAAATAATATAGAAAATATTAAAATGAAGAAAGTCTTGGAAAAAATTAATGAGGAAGCACAATATAGCGTAATTAGAGC